TTGGTTAAGTGCAGATAAATAAATACTAGGAAAATAAATATCCGGAGCGTAGTTAAAAATAAAGGTAATATATTGATGAGGACATAAACACACAAAATCTGGTCTACTGCTCCCCCATAATATCCTCCACTACGCCCCGGATAATTAATGTTGCAACGTGTTTTTAGTAAATTAAAAGATAATTTCGCATTGTTGGTAGCTCACCCACAAAAAATTTTCCGGAACGTGACTTTTAGCGAAACATAAAAATCAAAACAATCGAATTAAGCGAAAGATTTAAATCAAAGGGTTAAGGCCAAGAGAGGGCATAGTTCATACCAAAATTTCGCAAGGAGTTTTTGTTACAAAATTTCGAGTTATTAGGAAAAAACAAAAATACGTGATTTTCACGTTACACCTGCTCCTTCGATCTAATTGGCTAAAAATAACGTTCCCGAAAATTTTTTGTCGGAGTTCAATATCGCTGATTGGTCAGTGGTTATGCATAAATCGTCCAATCACATGAATATCATATGAGATTTTCACGTTACACCTGAAGATCAGGTATAACACGACAATCAAAACAAACCTCTTGACGCGATCGCAATACTTCTCCGACCGTATCGATAGGTAATATTTATTTATTTATTTATGCTTTTTTTTAACTGACAAATATATTCAAACTAGGATGGTCCGAAGTTCTACTCTCAAGTTTTTCTGTGTTCTGCTTAAGATCTACTGGTTCCAGAGAAGGAGCTGGTTATGTACCTTTGCTTGAGTGGTTGTAAAACTTGAGATAGGAGTTCATCTATAGTGATAAAAAGCACTATATACCTCTAAACAATAAATGGTGAGTTAAAGCCTCTTGATGAAATACTTAGAAGTATTAGGATTCAAGACGGAACAACCTACTTCCAGCATTGGGAGAGATGGGTTGGGGGACTTTATCCACCTTCCCAACCAATGAAATATACCTCTACGTGGTGGTTGGGATGAGTAGGAGAAATAATCTCCGAAACCAAGTATCTCTAACAATTACGAATTATTTATTTCAATTTAGATTAAAATTTATCTTGTTTTATATGTAGATGTTTGTTAAATTTAATAAAAAAAAATATTTTAAATTTTTTTTTCGCGTTTATGTACAGTAACTATTAAAAATGTTTTGGATTTTTGTGTAAAAGGATCGT